ACACAGCAAAAACCTCTCTTTAAAAAAAAAAAAAAAAAATGTAGACAACCTTGAAAGAATTGAACTTGGTAATTCTATTGATAATAACTCAAAGATAGTCTAATATAGAGTATTTTTTTAAAAATTCAGATTCTAAAAACACCAGAGAAAACAGATGACAAAGGTCACTATTATACCATAAGAATTAACCACAGTCTACTAATTATATTAGTAGTAGTCAGGGTTTTTAATTTAGAACAAATACTCAAAGTAAAATCAATATAACTAATCCTTACTACACTGATCAGATTTTAAGCTTATTTTATACAATAAGTTCTCTTTCTTCAGATCGTGGTCACTCATCTTCTACAGCATTTACAGTAAACACTAGATATTCAACATCCAAAAGAATCTATTCAACACCAGAGTCAATGATTTCAATCAGAAAAGTAGGTAAAAATTATGAGCATTTCTTCATTTTGGTAACATAAACATAAAAATATAAAAACTGCATCCTATATAGAGATATAGTTGACCAATTTATTTATTTATTTTTATTTTAGAGTTTTTTGCTATAGGGTGCATGTGCTCACCGGAGAGACAGAAAGCAAGAAATCATCCCCCAGGGGGAATGGTCATGCTGCAATCTCTTCTCCATTCTCCTCTCAGGATTTTGGGCATGCACACATACATGCCTGGGTTTTAGTTTAAGTCATTGAGTCTGGGACTTGAACTGTGGTCAACTACATGAGAGTCCAGGGACATAACCATTATACCATCTGCTGGTCCTGACTTGAGTAATTATTAAATCCACTTTCCTAAATCATGTAAAGTATCACAATACATGATAGGACTTATTTTTTTAAATAATTTATTTTATTTATTCAATCATTTATTTCTTAATTTGACCAGAGAGAGACAGAAGGTGAGAGTGAAAGAGAGAGGAAGTGAGAAAGCAAGCCACCAGATTCAGGACTTGAACCCTGATCTGCCATGTGGGAGTGTCCAGCACCTTAACCACCATGCCACCTGCTGCTCCCAACAAGACTTATTTTTTTAAAAAATGGCAAAAGTGCAAGAACAGAGAGGGTAAAGAGCAGAAGTATTTCATTAGACCCATGGGTTTATAAAACAGTAAGGATTTATTCTGATACAAATTATCAATATATTTATAATATAACAATAATGAAACTGATTTCTCCCAAAAGTAATATTACTTGATATTTTATATTTATTATTCATTCAGTCAGCAGCATATCCAAATTGTTATGCTTTATATTTTTTTCAAAAACTGGGACCAGCAGTTAGTGTAATGGCTACGTCACTGGACTCCCACATAGTCAACTGCGGTTCGAGTCCCAGACCCGGTGGCTTAAACTCACGCCGGGCGCGTATGCATGTGTGCCCAAGATCCCGAGAGGAGAATAGAGGAGGAAGGATTGCGGCGTGGCATTCCCCCGGGGGGTGATTTCTGGCTTTCTGTCTCTCTCTGTCTGGCAAGCACGCGCACTCTATAGCAAAAAAAAAAAAAAAAAGTAACAATAACCTGTTATAGGAAATAGCTCAAAGAAAACCTCTTAGACTTATAAAATCTTTTATAAAAATGAATTACTTTATTTAACTTTATTTATTTGTTTACTTATTTATTTTGTTTAATTTGCGCAGAAAGGGACAGCAAGAGAGAGAGAGAAAATAAGCCACCAGGTCGGGGACTTGAACCATAGTCAGCCATGTGGTAGTCCAGCATCCCTAATATCATGCCATCTACCAGCACCAGACTTACAAAATCTTTTAGCCTATTCAAACAGGAAAAATTCTGTTACTTACAATATCCTAGATACAGAAACAACATAAGTGTCCATGAGCAAGTAAATGGATAAATAAAATGTGGCATATATACATAATGGAATACTATACAGACTTTTAAAAGAAGAAAATTCTGTCATTTATGACAACACAGAAAATCTGGAGAACACTATGTTAGGTGAAATAAGCCAGGCACAAAGAACAACTAACTACTGCATGATCTCACATTAGTGCAAAATCTAAAAAAGTTAAAATCATAGAGACAGAGAGTAAGATGGTATATACATACTGAAGGCTGGGGGTGTTGGAGAGGATGGAGAAAAAGGAGAGATTGGTCAAAAAGGACAAAGTCGAATTAGGCAAGAGAAATAAGTCTTAGAGGTCTATTGCACAGCATAATAATCAGTTAACAATAATGCACTGTATGCCTTGAAATTCTAAAAGAATATATTTTAAACATCCTTACCATAGAAATAAAGATGAGTAGGTAAGGTGATGAAAAAATTAACTAGATTAATTTAATCCTTCTACAACGGATACAACTACCAAAACATTACACTGTGCCCCATAAATATCTACAATGATTATTAAAATAAACACAGTCATGAAACAAACAAAAACAAATTTGATGGTAAGATTTAAATGCTAGATGATTTTAAAAGGACAAGGGAAAAAAATACAAAGGGGTCTTTAAAAAGATCATGGGAAATAAACATAAAAAGAGCATCGAAGACCAGCAGATGGCATAATGGTTACATCACTGGACTCCCACGGTAGTCAACCATGGTTAGAGTCTAGGGCCAGCAGTTTAAAACTCACATTAGGCATGTGTGCCTACATGCCCAAGATCCCAAGAGAATGGAGGAAAAGGGATTGCAGAGTGGCTATCCCCCCTGGGAGGTGATTTCTCGCTTTCTGTCTCTTTGGCAAGCACACATGCCCTATAGCAAAAATCTCTCTTAAAAAAAATACATGCATTTCAAAAATTTCTTGAACCAAAGTAAACTCATACTTAATTTTATTTTTCCACTAACTTTTCTAAAGTATCCTCATTTAAGTTCAGACTGCAAGAAAGGAAGATAAAATATTCCAATGAAAGGATGCTGTGAAAGACTTTGAAAACTAAATAGTATTCATGATTTTAAAAGAAACTATTCAACTACTTCCCATAAGAGATAGCAGAAAATTATTTAGCTTGGTTCCAGTCAAAGTTGCTGATCTAAATTGTATTTCAATAATGCAGGTGGAACAGTAGGGTTCATCCCCTATTTCACATTTAACTGAAGGTTTTGATCTTTAAGAATCAAAATGAATCATAGCTATGTTTATGTAAAAAAGAAAATGTACACAATTTAAAATTTAAATATTTATTTAAGTAGTAGGATTATCTGTTTTCATTTTAAAACACTTTTACAGAGTTTCTATAATTTTACATTAGTTTTAGAATAAAAATAAATAGGTCTATGTTCACGTCTTTCATTCTATCTTCTTCTCTAGTGTTTTAACTTGTCTAAACTACAGTATTAATGCAGCCATTGAGAGAAAGAGCTCTAAAACCATCCTACAGGCTTCAGTCTCAGTTCTGACATGCTGTTGTGGGACCCTGGACAAAGCTGGTTAAATCCTGTGCCTCGGTTTCCACATCTGTAAAATAGGAACAGCAAAAGTGCCTACATATCATAAGGTTAGTATGAAAATTGAAGTTGTCAACAAAAACCATGTAGAGAAGAGCCTGGAGAAGGCATTCAACAAATATTAACACTTACTACATCATATTATATATTTTAGATCCCCACTGACAAACAACTACAAACTAAACTGGAAGTTCTACAGAGCAGTACAAGTGGCCAAACCCCACAGGATACTGCTTGGATATATGACCCCACACAGAGATCAAATCTGGCTTCCTGAGCAGTCTGAAAATTATTACCAACATGTCACAACAGGAAACGGAAAGGCTATCACCAACATGACTTGGAAATTAGCCGATTTACTAACATAAACCCATGACTTCAATAAATCTGTTCTCCTGAACTGTATATATTCAAAACCAGGTCAAATATTTACATTGCCAATGAGTTATGTATGATTGATAGCACATGCTAAATAAAGCACAATTTCCAAGTAAAGAGATAAGTACTTCACATTTATATATTGACCTCTTAAACAAAATAATCTGGCTCATCACTCAAGCAATCAATCACTCTTTGAGATGGGAAATGGTGGGACTAAGAAGTAGAAAGCATATGCGATGGATTCTGTCAACAGTGGTTGTCACTATTAAACAAGAGGTTACATAGCATATTCAATTTGAGAAAATATCTGTAGGTCACATACATGGTTTTTAACATTACTACATAACAAGGAAACAACCAGCAGCAACACCTTTTAAGATGAAAGTCAACAATATACACATAAGCATTTCAACTACCTATGTACTCTTGAACTAATACTGCCACGTAGTGATTCACAAAGCCATGTAGAACTGATTGATAGTTAAATTACTTCCATACCAACCTCATCAAGAAAATAAATCTAAATTAACTCTTCAGAAAACATTTCTGGAAAGAATCAATTATATGAACCACAATGATGCTGCAGTAACTGAATTGAATGGATGAAAAGAGTTAACATTTGTAGAATTCCAACTTTTCAATTACATATGGGGGGGGAAAGTATGGTCACTGTTGATTCAAATTCTCACCTAAACAGAATTTCTTCCAAAGGACCCAAAAATCTTGGTCTCTAATATGCATATTTGCAATTATTTTCTATGTGCTCATTTTTAAATACCATAACACAAAGCATACCACATGCAAAGGTAATTTCTGAGATGATACCTTCTGGTCCAGTAAGTTTAAAGTCAAAACACACATATATACAAGAAGTGTTTATATATACACATCTGTAAAGATAGAAAAATAGAATATTTTTTAAATCTGGGCTAATTAAGCGAGAGTAATATCCACTAAGTTCAAAAATCATCTTTTCCTGGAACCCACTTCCACTCTATTTTAAGGTCTTTCCATGGTTCCTAAAGGAAATGGTGAGATTTTAAAGCATGTCCGAAGGGAGATACATAAGCAGGACCGGTTTATCATCATGTAGGTACACCTGTTCTAAGAGAAACCAAGATGAGAACGCTGCCCTCACAGCTGACCCAAAATCCGTGAACATGACAGCTAACGAATCTTCGCTCATACAATGCAACTCACCTCGCAGCTCAGAGACATAGCAAAATCGGTGGCTGTTTTTTGCGCTGCCTTTGGATTCTGCATCTGTTTCAAACCTAAAACCTAGCTGCCTGGGAGCTTCACCTGAAGAAAGCTTGACACACAACGAAAACTATCGCGATTTAAAAGATACCCGGTGTTTTCTACTTGATGAGGTTATGGAAATTTTGCCAGGTGGGACTTTTTTTAGCCCTCCTTCATACACGCGAGCAGCATTAAGTTAAATCCTCCTGCTTTAGAGGGCCCTAGAGTCCACCTGGTTCTATCCCAAAAAATAAAAACCTCCAATCTCACTTCCTTCTTAAAAGACTAAAACTGAATCCACGCTCCAACTTGGGAGTACAGTACGAAGGCTGTCAACCCACCACACCCTCCTTCCTCATTATCCGGCCCGATACCCGGCCGGGACGAACTTGGACTCCGAGAACGGAGCTGTGGGTTCCGGACCGGACAGTACCGGCCCTGACCCACCGGAGGGGAAGAGAAGCTGCGGGAGTCGGGAGCCCGACAGGTACGTCCCCAGCGTCGGCGCGTGACGTCACCGCGTTGACGTGAACGGCCGTTCGGCGTCCGGCCGCCCCAACATCTCCCCCGGCGGCCAGTCTTGGAGCCGAGTGGGCGCCGATTGGGCGGTGTGGGGAGGTGGGCGGGCCCGGGTTGGGTCGCGAGGAGGAGGAGCCGAGCGGCCTGGCGGGTGCTGCGCCTGAAGCCCTCCTTGGGCGATTAGTTCACGTCACTCACCCATTCTGCTTGCCCCTTGTGTGACCTCGTTAAAGGACAGGAGGCGGCCACCGTAGGGGTGGCATTGTCGCAAGGCCGCGGGCGCTCGCCGTCCCCAGCGTCATCGCGAAGCTGCAGTTCCACCCCGACGACAGAGTGCGGCCGCCTCCTGTGAAACAGCGGCAGGCCTCGGCCGCGAAACTGAGCAGCTAAAAGCCGCCGCCAACAAGCGCTCATATTTAAAACCTCCATCGGGAGAAACGCGGGCCTGCCTTTGGTGCTGTTTAGGTCAGCACCTATTTCCCCGTGTGTATCCGGGTTGCTCACGGCGGCAGGGAATGCGGTGGTGTGACTTCGCCTCATTTGTCGTCGCAGGTTCTGTGCCTAACCTACAAGGAAACCTGATAACGTGAATTTAGCCATCACGACTTTTCAAACGATGCTTGGAAATTAGGTATTTGGGAGAAGATACGGAATCTGAGATTCCTACACGGTCTGAATTGAGTTGATTTCTGTTTGCCACACATTTATTGAGCTCCTACTATGTGTCACAGAATTCAATAAACACCATCCCCATGCTTGAGGAGATGCAGGGGAAGAATGCCTGGCTTCAGCTCTAGCTTGCCAGTTAACTTGGTAAGCAGGTACAGTAGCTCCACTTATTCTTGGTTTTGCTGTCTGTGGCTCAGATACCCAGGATCAACCAGTGAGAAGATACATGAGTACAGTTAGATATTTTGAGAGACTACATTACTTAAAGTATGTTGTTTAAAATGTTCTATTCACCTTAAATAGCCTGATTTATACATTTAAGTTAATGGTGGGTATGTATGTATAAGAGAAAAAAATACAGGGCTCAGTACTATTGCTGGTTTCCTTATTCACTGAGGCTGCACGATATTCCTTGATAAAGGGATTGCGCAAGGAAGGGACTTAAAAAGATTTGTGGAAAATGGAATTAAAATATGAATTCTAGTGTGATAAAATTTGAAATCTATGCATAGTTTTTTCAAAATATGCATTTTCCATAAACTTGTTAAAAACCTCTTTTACAGGTATTGCAGTTCTTGAGCAGAATGTGTCAGATCAGTGTGAATGTCAACCACTGGGTGACAGAGTCAGACCTATGTGTGAATGATGAATGTCTCATGTATATGTAGTATGTTAAGACTATATGGTGCTTCATGAAGACTAAGTGCCTCTCATATATTTAGTGCCTTATGAATATTAGCTACATCTTGGTCTTCCCAGCCTTTCTATCTGTATTTCACATGTATTTGCTCTACTGTTTGTCACAAAGGTTAATGACTTACCTGTGCTTAACACACAAGTTTTGCCCAGGTACTTCTTTTCTCAAACAGTACAAGCCTGTACACTAGAGCTGGTATGGTGCCCATGGTTATGGTGGGGATTCTCAGAATAAAATCAAGTTTCTCATGCCTTCTTTCATTATTTTTACCAAAGTGAAATGTGTAGAACTATGGCAAAATCTGAGCAAAATTTCTTTTCTTCCCTATCCAAACTTTTCTTTCTTAAGTTTACTTATTTCTTCCATGAGCAAGAGAAAAAGAGAAAGCCACCACTAACAGGTCCTGACGCTGTGATCTACCCTAGCCTTCATCCATGGGCAAACATGTGCCCAAGGTACTCAGGGAGGTCTTCATATGTGAAACAGGAACCTTCCATGTGGGATTGCCTTGCAGAGCTTTAGGTTGTTCCTCTGCACCACTGTCTAGCCCTACAATTTTCTTAGATTCTTTTTGAAAAGGTGGGAAGGCAAGTAAAAACTTTCTTAAGTGAAATTTCTTTGGGGGGTAGGGTTTTTTTGCTATAGGGCACGTGTGCTCACCAGAGAGAGAGAGACAGAAAGATATAAAGCAAGAAATCACCCTCCAGGGGGGATGGCCATGCCGTAATCCCTTCTCTTTCATTCTCCTCTCAGGATCTTGGGCACACACGCAAACGTGCCCAGAGTGAGTTTAACCCCCCGGGTCCGGGACATGAATCGCGGTTGGCTACATGGGAGTTGAGCAACATAGCCATTACGCTAACTGCTGGTCCCTTACGTGAAATTTTTCACAAGAGATTTGCAGATACGGTATGCTTTCTCTTCTCCCTAAGGTTATGTAGCATAATATTGGATAGAGACACATAGAGTCTAACAGTCATTGAAAGTAGTCAGTCTTACTTGCTTTCTATGATGATAAAAAATCATTTTATGGTAGCAGCTTAGTTACTTCATGGGGAGTTATCACAAGGTTTTCTTTTTAAGTGGGCAAGAATAAGCCTACTATTCCATTTCATTTTCTCCAATATTTATTTTATGCACCAACTTATTCCTTTATGGGAACAATTTTTTTAAGAGATTTTTGCTATAAGGTATGTGTGCTCACCAGAGAGACAAAGTGAGAAACCACTCCCTGAGGGGATGGCCATGACGCAGTCTCATCTCCATTCTCCTCTTGGGATCTTGGGCTTGTATGCACACATGCTCAGTGTGCGTTTTAAGCCACCAGGTCCAGGACGCAAACCCCGGTCAGCTACTTGGAAGTCCAGTGACATATCCATTACACCATCTGCTGGTCCCTGGAAACTTATTTTTAAAATCATGGTTTCTGACATATGCAACATCACACTAATAGTTCTTTTTCTCTCTCTTTTTAAAGATGTTTGCCATAGGACTAGTGTGCTCACTGGAGAATGACAGTTCAAGACAGAGAAGAAAGCGAGAAATCACCTATACACCTCCTCCCAAGAGTGGATGGGCACACTGCAATCCCTTTGCCTCCATTCTCCTCTTGAGATTCTGGACATGCATACACATATGCCCAGTGTGATTTTCAAGCTACTGAGTCCAGGACTCGAACCTTACAGTTGGCCATGTGGGACCCAATGCCTTAACTATATGCCACGTGCTTCGCCTAACACCGGTGGCTCCTCAGTCTTCACTCTTACATGAGAACCATCTTAGAACCAGTTAAGTAGCCTCACAAAAATATCCTTGCTTAAGCCCCACTCCTAGACATTCTATTTTAACTGTTCCAAGGTTAGGCATATGTATCTTTCCAGGTAATGGATGGGACTCAGAAACACTGTGTTAGATGTGGGACAATAACTAAGTGCTTGGTGATAATATCGATATATTGCATGTAGCGAAGAACTCTATAATTCCACTGGCATTTTTGTTAGATAATTTGCTAGTGTTAAAAACTTTTCTTCAATAGATTTGGATGGAAGGAAATACAGGAAAAGGACCACAGCCAGATTTCCTGGAACATTTTAAGTGTCCTATTGTGAACACTTATAGTTTGATCTCATCACTTCTTAGCAGATGATACAGAAGAGATCCTGTTTGACTGAGGTTCTTAACAGATCTCTTACTTTAGTGGGATAATTAAGAAGGAAATTCTAGGACTGAGATAGTTCTCCAGAATGAGTTTTTAGAGAATGAATTTGTGAGCTTTTCCCATACAAAAGGAATTAAGAGTCAGCCTGATCACCATACTCTATACCATGAGTCCCCATCCCCCTGACTATAGACCAGTGCTGGTGTGTGGCCTGTTGGGGGCTTAATGTGCCATCTTCATCCCCTCACAGTAGCACCCAAGGCTGTGTTTGCAGCTGCTCCCCATCACTCACATTGCTGCCTGGGCCCTACCCCTTGACAGATCAGTGGTGGTACTGGATTCTCGTGAGAGTGTAAACCCTATTGTGTGATTATTTCATTATATATTGCAATGTGGTAATAGTGGAAATGGGGTACGTGGTGGATGTGATATGCATGGATCATTCCAGGACCAACCCCCCGCTCTCTGGTCTGTAAAGGGATGGTCTTCCATGAGGCGTGTTGCTGGTGCTAGAAAAATTGGGGACCCTTACACCAAACAACTCAAAATAAGAAACTTCTTGAGGCCAACAGGTGGCGTGGTGGTTAAGGGTGCTGGACTCCCACATGGCCGACCACAGTTTGAGTCCCAGATCTGGCGGCTTGCTTTCTCGCTTTCTCTCTCTCTGTCCCTCTCTGGTCAACTTAAAAATAAATAAATAAGTAAAGTTTAATAATAAATAAATAAAATAATTCTTTAAAAAAAAAAAAGAAAGAATAAACTTCTCACATGTCTAGTGTCTTGATAGTCCACAACACTTTCATATGGCTAGGTTGGCTCACTTGCAACATTATGGTCTTGGGGTAGTCATAACCCTTTCATAAAAACAGATTTCAAGCTAAAGAAGTAGAAGCTAGCAAGGTTTTTAAAGCCTAGAGCAGGAACAGCTATGCCATATTTTTGGCCAAGACAAAGCTCAATGCCAGGTGAAATTTATGAGAAGGGAAAGAATCAATGGTTGTGGTCATATTTGAAAATGATCTACCACATCCTAGATTACTTTTCAGAAGTAGGTTTGTACCACCTTCCCCCCCCCAAAAAGCAAGGGGTCAGCAGGTGGCATGGTGGACTCTCACATGGCACTGCTGTTTGAGTCCCAGACCTGGCGGCTTGAAATTTATGCCGGATGTGTGTGTTCATGCCCCAAATCCCAAGAGGAATGGAGAAGAGATTGCATTGTGCCCATCCCCCTGGAGGGTGATTTCTCACTTTCTGTCTCTCTGTCTCTCTCTCTCTCCAGTAAGTGCTTGTGCCCTATAGCAAAAATCTCTCAAAAAAAAAAAAGTGCCTATTTCCACAAGCACTGGATGTTTCTTATTTTGCAAATATTTTAAATTTCCTCTGCTTTTGGGACCAGCAGTTGGCATAATGGCTATGTCACTGGACTCCCACGTAGTCGACTGCAGTTCAAGTTCCAGACCTGGTGGCCTAAACTCAGGCTGGAGGCATGTGCATGTGCCCAAGATCCCGAGAGGAGAATGGAGAAGGGATTGCAGTATGGCCATCCCTCTGGTGGGTGATTTCTCTTTTTCTGCCTCTGTCTCTTTCTGGCAAGCACACATGCCCTATACCAAAAACCTCTCCCCCCCCAGAAAAAAAAATGTCCTCTGCTTTTGACAAAAGTGGTTTCAGTTGGGGGAACCAGCAGTTAGCGTAATGGCTATGTCGCTGGACTACCACGTAGTCGACCGCGGTTTGTGTCCCGGACCCGGTGGCTTAAAACTCACGCCGGGTGCATGTGCGTGCGTGCGTGCCCAAGATCCCGAGAGGAGAATGGAGGAGAAGGGATTGCGGCGTGACCATCCCCCCTGGGGGGTGATTTCTCGCTTTCTGTCTCTATGTCTCTCTCTGTCTGTCTGGCGAGCGCACACGCCCTGCAGTGAAAATCTCTCCAAAAAGGTTTCAGTTGCTAGCTGAATGAAGGTTAAGTGAGTGATCCTAGTTCAAGCCATGTGGAGCAAAAGAACCATCTGGCAGAAGTCTGCCTGATTTCTTGGCCCCAACGCTGTGAGGCATAATACGTCATTATTGTTTTAGGCCACTAAGTTTTAGGACAGTTTGTTATACAACAATATATAACCATACCACACAGGAGTATGTACTAAAGTATTAAAAAAATGCATACTTTCTTTTTTTTCTATGTCATTACTTTTATTTTTAATGTCCAGAAATTGTAAGGCAAGGACCAGAGCTTCCTTCCAGACACAGTATTTTTATAAATTCTCAATTGGCTGGTGAGGCCAATAGGGATACTTCTTGTATAATGCGGTTTCTGGGAAGACTTCATTCAAGTCCTCAATGGTCATCTGATCAAATGGAATTATGTTCTTCATCTTCTCCAGCTGTTTCTGATATTCTTCAATCCTGGACTTTGAGAAGGACACAAACTCAGCAGAACTTTTTTTTTTCTTTTTTTTTGAGAGATTTTCACTGTAGGGCGCGTGCGCTCGCCAGACAGACAGAGAGAGACAGAAAGCGAGAAATCACCCCCCAGGGGGGATGGTCACGCTGCAATCCCTTCTCCTCCATTCTCCTCTCGGGATCTTGGGCACGCACGCACGCACACGCGCCCGGCGTGAGTTTTAAGCCACCGGGTCCGGGACACGAACCGCGGTCGACTACATGGGAGTCCAGTGACATAGCCATTACGCTAACAGCTGGTTCCCAGCAGAACTTTTCACATCTTCCTTTTCTTCAGCGTCCACCTGGACAGAGTATTTATACTCTGGCACAGGAACCTTCAGGGCATTAAACTTCTCCAAGTCGTCCACCAAGCCTGCCTTGGCCACAATGGCCTTGTAGTACGCCCAGTCAATAGCTGGCGGCATCTCGGGTAGTGCAGCCAACCTGGAGAGGAGGGTCTCATTCCAAGTTTTCAGGGAGTTAGCAATAGCCTTTTGGTTTCAGGGTATTATTTCCTCAAAAGCTACCCAGTCAATAGTTTTTAGGGCAAATTTTTGCCCGGCCATCTTGCAATCCTTCAACCCCAGCAGCGAACCATCCACAGCAAGTAAAATATACATACTTTCTAACCCAGCAAACCTAGTTTTAGGAATCTATCCCTCAAAAATAATATCATTGGAAACATTCTTTATGTCTACCCAGTGAGGTATGGTCAAGTAGGTTTTAGTTCATCTATAATGTGGAATATTAATGTCATTAACAAGAATTAGTTGATTTCAGGGCTAGCAGGTGGTGTGGTTAAAGCACTAGACTCCCACATGGTAACCACAGTTCGAGTCCCAGACCTGACAGCTTGACACTCATGCCAGGTTAATGTGTGTGCATACCCAAAATTCCAGAAGGAAAATGGAGGAGAAGGGACTTTGGCGTGGCCATCTTCCCGGGGGATGACTTCTCACTTTCCCTCTCACTGTCTCTCTCTGGTGAGTGTATGCCCTATGGAAAAAAAACCTTATTTAAAAAAAAAATAATTAATTGACTTCTGGAGATATGCTCATGATATACTGTTGAGTTAAAAAAAAGGTACATTTTGCAAAACAATATGTATATTACAATCCCATTTAAAATATTAAAATGAATATACATGTAAATACATGCTTTATGTTGTCATTACCTTTGAGAAAATTATAGATGATATTTATGAAACTATTAACATTGATTTTATGGAGGATTGAACTTAGAAATAAACTTTGGGGAGACCAGCAGTTAGCGTAATGGCTATGTGGCTGGACTCCCATGTAGTCAACTGCAGTTCACGTCCCAGACCCGGTGCATGCCCAGGATTCCAAGAGGAGAAGGGAGGAAAAGGGATTGCTGTGTGGCCATTTCCCCTGGGGGGTGATTTCTTGCTTTCTGTCTCTCTGTCTCTCTCTGTCTGACACCTCACAAGACCAAAAGCCA